AAAAGAAACTGAGGTCATCTTCCACGAATTTATCCACCTACAGCTATTAAATACAAAGTCACTAGCTCTAGAAACCTCTGAGTCACAAACTGCTGGAGGCTGAATGTATGCAAAGTGAGCATTACTCCAGGGTTTACCAAGTCTATACTCTCCATTATGCACCCTTCACTTAACCTCACCCCCCAGCCAAAGTGCTGAATTAAATGGCTCCTTGATCCAACCTGGTAGAGCTAGTCTTAAATAACATTTTTATAATTACTTCAAGAAATCATTTCATGTTTGATTTGGATTCTTCCACCAATGTGTTTTATAAAGGAAGAAAAAATACATATATTTACACATTACAAATTGAGATAACAGTTTTATGCAGAAAGTGTACTTAATTCAGCCACTTTTACATATAAGAATAGGAAGTGTGGTATGGAGAACCCTGAACAAATATTTAAACTCTATAATTCATTTTGTAGCCACTCTGAGAACACTTATAGTTTCTTACCTCCCCCTAAAGCACTACACTCTTGATGCTGTATGTTTTTTAGTGCTTCTTAGCCTACAAGTAGTTCTTTCAGGAATTTTTCCAGTGAGGCGTTAAGAGAAACAATTTAAAGTTTCAAAGTAACAGTCAGTTCTGCACATTGTGAACTGCTTGGCACAAGAAAGTTTTCAAGGCACAGCTAAACATAATCCTTTACTAACTGCTAATGTGAAACAGTAGGTCAGGAATCTTTCCAAAAAGGGTAAGAAGCTATTTCTCATTCCTGAAGGGATCACCCAGGAGACGTTTTTAGGGTTACTCCAACTTCTTTGGGATTCCAATTGTATCAGCCAAACAGCTTGTGCTATCACTCACCTGAAGACAGGATCTAATACCTCAAGAAGTCTATTAAAAAAGTAATTTAGTTCATTTCACCCTACAGCTACAGATCCTGACTCGCATGGCAGTTTAGCTACACATTTTATGACAAGTTCAGTAAATTGTACTTGATCAAGAATTCCCAATAACTGATGATGAAAAAGGAAGTCTGTCTTCTGAAAAAGACACATTTATTTGACTTCATTTTTTCTTTTAGCTTTTTTTTTTTTTTTTTAAATTAAGTCACTCCAGGATCTGGCTGCAAGAGATGTAAGAGGATAATCAAACACTTTGATGAGCACAGCTTTCCAATCTTACAGAAGGAACCTGTTGGTTTCTGCTCATTTCTACCGATGAGATGCAAGCATTGGAGCAACATCACCACCTTTAGTGGTCCCCATCTTTCTGCATTTAGGTAACACAGAAGCATATAAAGCAGCAGATAATCCTCAGACTGTTTCTGTTCCACCCCTACCGTGTTTCTAAATCTTTGCCATTCACTGGGAAAGGCACTATAACATTATGCAGGTCTCAGATATAGTAGAGTTGGCCAGAACAGTTCTCTTTGAAGACGAAATGGCAACATAAACACATGACAGGGGAGCAGCAGAATTTCTTCATTCATTTGCCATTGCCCCCCACGTAGCTGCTGCAAAGTCATTATAAACAGTACCAAGCAGAAAATTAACAAACTGCCAAGTTCCTGGTATAATGCTAAAAGGGGACTACAAGAAAGCTATGAAGGTACAGCTTTTGGACCATGCACATCTTGCACTGCTGGAATCCCTAAACTAGCAAGTATAGCAGCATGTAGACTTCCAGGTTTGTTCTGAACACCGTGCTGCTGCTTTTCTGAACTACTGCACTTGTGCATCAAAGACATGCCAGGAAACCATGCCAAAAAGGCAAAGTGCCACTTGTAGGCCCAAACAGGCTTATGCAGAACAAGCTGAAATGTGCCATTATCACCTACTGAGCTGTTTAAGGGTTAGAGAGCACATACATACTTTGGGAATGCAAGCATGAGAACTGCAGATGTAATACATACTCTATTTCTACAGAAACTCTGGATTGCTCTAGGGATTTGACTTTGATTAAAGTAAACCTCTGCCATTTTTCTCCAAACAGGAGGACTGTTTCACTTGTAACAAAAGCGCTGAGTAAGAAAAATCTAGGGAAGTCCTCATTGCTAACTGGCAGCATTGCAGGAACTGACCAATGCCATGACTCAAAAAACAGCCACCACAGAATCTAGCACTGAAGCATGCTGCCACTCTCACAAGCAGCACTACCAAGCAGGCAACTATCAGAATCCATGGGTTTGGCATCAATTCAAACATCTAACATGTGACACCTACCACAGGTAACACAGAACATTTGGAGGTGGTGTCAGACCACTATCAGTGTAGTGCCTGGGCATAAAAGTTGTTACACCAGGCCTTATCAGAAGAGGCCTGGATTTTAAAATAAACTCCTCAGGTGGAGAGATACCAGGGGTGGGGAGAAGGATAAAAGGCAGGAGGGGAATAAACAGAGAGTAATGGCTTGTCCTGCTTTCTTTCCTCTACCTTGGGAAAGTGAAAGCCGTACAGCTGTTTCTCAGAGCCCTGAAAAAGTCTAACTCACGTCAGAGCTGAGCGTATCATGTTTATTGCCAAGTGAAAACTGACTTGCAGATAAAGTTTTAGACAGCCTTCCTTTATAATGATAAAAAATGCCCATACAACAAGAAAACCCAATAACAGAGCACTGGAACATTTGTTAAATGATATGCCTCTCACCTCAGCAAGACAGTAATCTGCTATATCCATCAGAGATATAATTACCTTACACAAAAGGCAGTATTTGAACCATGGCAATTTTTGCTTAATCAAAAGAGTACAAGCTTGGAAAACAATAAATTGAGAGAGAAACCAACCCAGAAATAAAACCAGACAAACAGGTTCTACATTAACTTGCAACCTGCAATAAACAGATACTCAAGTGTAAAATTAATCTGCTTTTACTTCCACTTTGCAGCCACAATCAGCTATGTAAAACCACAGTACAATGCACTTTGGATGTTGATGATGAAATAACAGCTACAGCAGGGGTCTGAAACCTAACAACACTGATATTAAGTTATTACAGTTAGGATGTATGTCACTTGTTTATATCTGAAAAAAGTCTGAAAAATCTCCTTCAGCATGTTCCCAATACTATGTTTTTCTTCCTGTATTTTAAACCTGCACAGTTGCAAACCCTCCCTGTGAAAGAAAAGCCCTAAACTTTTAACAATCGAGGAGTTGTATCATGAAACATACTTGTGACCTTCAAATGCTTTTACATTACCCTCTGTTTCAAGTGCTCTGAAGAGAGTTCTAATATTGCACAGTCTGGTATAAGGCAGGTGATTGTCCTGATTTGGTAGTTTGGTAGCTCACTGGTTTGGCACAGGAACAAATGACACTATCACTCCCCAGCCATCAAGTCTCAAGCATGCTGGGAAACAGTGTTGACATGGTTTTCTCCTCATCATTTTTGGCCAAGAGACAACTCAAAAAAGTCAGACCAACCTTTATTTTAATCTTAAATGAATTGCTCACCAGGAAAAATTAAAGGCCACCCTTAATCAACAAACAATGTGAAAGGCCTCAGCATAAACTGTGTAGATGGGTATATTAAATACTCCATCCTCTTTCTTAAAAGAAAGAAAAAAAAGTCACACAAATATGCTAGAATTGCTGATGCAAATAAATATACCACTTTTCAGCCCAGTTTATCCTCATTAATAATGAACAGGGCAAAGAATTACTCCAACTATTGACTGTGGCCATACTTCTTACTTTTGAGTAGTGATTTGGAAAAGTCTGAATCAATTAATGTTAAAACATTCTCCTAAACAAAATTTTTAAAAACCCTAACTCTTTAATAAAATTCCTGAAAACATCAGCATCGATCTTTCTAGGACAAATAATATATTTGCCATCATAAATAAATTACATGTGTTTCTTGACACTTAAAAGAATGTTTACACCTTTCTGTAAACTCATTTATTTAGTAGTTTTAATGAAAGTAAGGGTAAATAAAACCAGTACTCTAGCAGCTGTGTGTGTTCTGCTTCTCTTCACGTGTGACCTTGGGAGAAAGTCAGAATCAACAGTAACTAGTAAACCTGCAGCTGGCAGAAAACATACATTTCACTTTTAAAGTTTGCAAAAACAGTATCTGTTCACTAGCCAAAGCATTTGTTAATGTTTACCATTGATATACAACACTATTCTGAATTTCTCATTGAGAAACTTAATACACACAGAAGTATCCTTGCTATGTAGCTTTCTTGCTCCTAGATAAAATGACTGCAAACCACATTAATTTAAATGAAGTTTAGCAACAAAAACTAAAAACAGCAGGAAAAAAGGCTCCCAGCAGCATTATTATTTACAACTTGGCAAAGCAAATTAAAAATTCAATTTCCATTTCTGGCCATGTTAAAAAGAAGCAAAAACCAGATGAGCTTGACCACAAGACAATGACATTTAGTTCAAGTATCTAGACCTTTATAAGCAATATATTTCACTAGGTTATAGCAAGCAAAACCAACTCTTCTCAGATGACAAATAAGGCCAGGGACTACATTCCAACTGCCAAAATCTGAAGGTGAAAAGCTTACCTCACCAGTCAACTGAAAGCTGAATATATTTTTCTTTAAGTCAGAAGTGGGAATATAGAAATAGGGTGGGTTTTTTCTGAATCATCTGGTTATTAGAAAGTCAGAATACCTCACTCTGCAACAGTTAAAGGCCATCTCTAAATTTAGAGGCCTCCCCACTCTCCCTTGTCCAGGTGCACATCCTGGCTAGGTCTTGGGTACACACCTGGATGAAGCTTCTGTTTCACACTTTCTATAGTACAAAAGTGCCTCAATTTGCCCTGGAGGCTTTTACTGATTTGGAACCAGAATTTATGGGATACTCCTAGCATAGACAAGAAACACAGAACAGAACTAGAGTTTATCTGTCCTTTGTTGAAACCAAGTATCACAGTAAGTGACCTGTTTGTGGGAAGCACCTATTGTAATACCTGTAATGAAGATTAACACATGAACAAATGAAATGTAAGTAAAATTAACAAATCTAGCAAAGTAAAGAATTTAGAAAAGTACTACCTTCTTTTCAGTGGGGCTTGAAGTCTTTGATACTAGTGCTGCTTCAACAAGACCCTGCTCAAGTAAGGAGTCATATTTTATGCTTCTTTTTCTGTTTCTCCTCTCCTTGTTTGCCGGCTTCTGTTCATTTTCCTCTGACTGAGACACATCTGCACCATTGTCTCCACAAATGGAAGATTCAAAAAGAGGTTTTCCATTCATGTAGGTTTTAGTGATTTTCAGCTTTATTTCTGGAGAGCCATTCTTGATAGGAGTGGTGTTGGGTGGTGTTCCAACTCCCTTGATTTCCTGGGTTTCAAAGCGCAGCTTGGCATCTTGGGCCCCAGACTCACCATTAAACACACGAGATGTTAGATCTTTCAATTTATCAGCTGGAATAAATGGAAGAGCCTCATGGCCATTATATTTTTGCATGACACCTTCTTGTAGAGTGGCAGAAAGTTGTGCTTTGCCCAAGTAGACAGAACACTCACGATTCACTTCACAATTCTGAGTTTTCCCATTGGTATTTCCAAGGATCTCTGGTACCTGCTTCATTTTGATGTAGTTAATTTTTCGAGTTAACAGTTGAGAACTTCTTTTGATGCTAAAGTCCATTCAGCCCAGATGTTTCCAGTCTTACACTGCTACATTAAGACAAAAAGACGGAGAATATTTTCAATAATAAAGAAATGCCAAAAGCTATCAAGTATTCAGACAGATATGTCCCCACTAATACAACACTCAATGTACTTTGTTCAGGTTTTACTAAAAAAAGCATTGCTTAAAATCTACATAACCAAAACACTTCAGTATCTGTTAATGTGCATTATGAAAAAGTCCAACAAAAACAGATTGATTAATCAATTTTATTAAAACAAAAGCCAAGAGAAAAAATCATAGCTTTCATTTTAACAATCTACAACACAAATCTTACCCACACTAATTACTCAAATGTATTGCATGGTCTAAAACAAGTAGGAGTCAGACCTAAGATAGTATCATCAGCAACAACATAAAACAGATGAGTTTACTTCTATGAGGTCGTGCCAGCCTAAAAAACCCAGAGGCTGGGTTACTGCAGCACCTACACCATGGACAGCAGCATCACAAGCTTCTTTTCCTTACTCTACAAACAGGCCCTTCTATCAAAGCACACCTCCAGAGGAAACACCACAGCTCAGATACATTCCAAAGTGCTCTAGCTATTAGAATGAATAAAAAGTAAGCATTTTGTATCATGAACATCAGTCCACTGGGAAACAGCTGATCCTTCAGGCCATTTGTCACACTGTGCGGAATTTAAATGGTCAAAATAACTGCTGGATATTCAGCTTTTTAATAACAACATCATCTAACTCCCATTTTTCATTCAGAAGTTTGAAAACATACACGTTAAAATAGTACTATTATCTGCTTTAGGCAGGTTTTCTGAGGGTTCTAAATGCTAACCCTGTCCACTTCAACATTATAGTAACGTAGCAAAAAATGGATCTAGCAGAATGACTCCTTTGTGCTCCTAGACCAGACAAGATAATTGTTTCAATTTTTAAAATTATATGGATACTTTTCATATTACCAGGTTCAGTGTATACATGATATAGAGAAATACACCATCATAAATATTATGAAAGCTCAGCACAATAATCATCATATCCATGTTCAAGGTAACCAATTTTATATATGATTAAGTCCAAGTCACATCGAATTAAAAAATCATCAAATCTAGTCTCACACACTTCCAAAAAAGTGCAGCAAAACCCATGATGAGTAACTATTCAATTGTCAGTTGCTATGGAAAAAATCTCTTCTAAATCTCACCACCTTGTTTATTAATGCTTACAACTGGCATTTTCCTGAAACTTGCATGTTTGCTAGCTCTACATCAGGAGTAGTAATGTATGCCTATAACGTAGCATTATCCTCGCCTGGTAAATCTTCTTAAGGTTGTCAAGTCTGAACTCAAAACCAAAACTGGCCAACATGAAACCTTTTCATGCACAATGATTCAGAAAAAAAAGAAAATCTAAAAATTGTAACTCCATCAGTCCCTAGCAAATGCTCCTATGTCCCTAACAAGCAGCTTTAAGGTAACTACAAGATAAATGGTATCTCTCCATATAAGTTATAAAGTCTCATCTGAGAGACTAAAACCATTCTGCAGGGACAAACAACAGCCTGAAAAGCTGAAATTAAACTTTTAAATTAAAAAGAAAGCAAGTATACCTGGACACCAAGTGAATATGCATCAGGAAAGATTCTAATTATTCTTTAGTCAGATGAAATCTGAATTATCAATAGAATTTCTGATAAAGTGAGAAGAAATGAGCCAACTGCATTAAATCTTTTGAAGAGGACTGAGGTAAAAGGAAACTGAGAACTCCCCCAGAACAAGGAACTCACTAAACCAAGCAAGAACTCATATTATTTCACAATATCTTCTCTGAAAACATGGACATGAGACAGACTCTCAGCTGAATTAATAATATGACAATGTTTCAAGCTGTGATTCAAGAGATTTAACTGAAATCATATTTATTTCAAGAAACAACTGCTGACAAATTCTACAAATCTCCAGGCAAAAGCCAAACCCATTATGGAACATGTGACGCTTCTGGTTACACAGATAGCAATAAAATTCTTTAGCAAAAACCAAAACCACTGAATTGTTGCAAAATCTGTGCTTTCTTCCCAAAGATTCTTAACAGAGTGAACCAGAATGCAAAACAGAGATTTGATTTGGGCATCTAAACTGCCTGTAACTAAAAAACAAGCCCACAAGCGAGCAGCTCTTCTGCGGCTGCAGACGCCCTCCAGTGGTTGCCAGAACCAGCCAGAGCTGCAAACAGGCAGCTCCCCACTTCCCTGCCTGACAGGCTGCCTCTCATCACAGTTTCTCATAAGAGGCATCAAAAGTGCCTTGTGTGACTTCCTCCTGTCCATCAACTAAATGGTTAAGTTGAAAAAAAAATTTTAATATGGCTCTGTTAGCCATCTACCAGGATCTGGATTTCTGGATCGAGACACCTGCATTTTGTAACTGTTTTCATCCATAATTCTACTAGTATTTTTCTGTTCTGCTTAATATTAGTTAACTTTTAGTTTCATCATTTCTGTAAACTAGAAAGTTATCAAAGATTGAAGCAGGCTAGGACAATTAAAAAAAGGAACAAATAACAAAATTAGACTATCTTACTGGTATACTCAATCTCAAAACACTAGATGCATTAAAAAAAGTGATAGCTTAAGAGTTTCCAACATAAAACCCACCAGAGTTACAGAATAATTTAGGCTGGGAGGGACTTCTTCAGAACAACTAATCCAACCCTTGGCTTAAATCAGGGCCAACACTGATGAAGTTGCTTAGGGCCTTGTCTAGACAACGACCAGTCAGTAACTAAGAGCAAACGCGCAGCTTAAAGAAATCAAGTTACTCTCCTGCTAGATAACAGGCCTACGGGATGTAATTCCACCTCACAAAAATAAAGACCATGCAGTGAAAAACCTTGAACTTCTAGGGGTTACCTTCATTTGCCTAAATATGTCTGAAGACACATAGCATGAAGATTTTAGCACTTCAGTGAGTGCAGGTTCGGTTAATGATTGTCTCTAACACAGGTCACTATAAACAGCTGAAAGCACTGAAAAAGGCCCCTCAAATTGCTGGAGCCTAAAGGGACAACAAATCCAGGGGTATAAGTGATAAAAGGAAGTCAATGTACCTAGGTCAATAGTAAACGGCAAGATGAAGACAAAGGCACTAATTTGAGAAAGTAAGTTCTTCAGAACTAGTAGATACAGATTATAGAGTATGGAAAATAGACCATGTTTGTATAAAAAATTAATAGGGCCAAATGAGAAGAGGCTTAAAGGAAGACGCAGAATAATGGGCAGAGATAACAAATACTAGTACCTATAAGAAAATCCAGACCCACTGGGGAGATGACAGCAAGTTGCAGGTCAATCCCCATCTCTAGGAGAAGCAATGGAGGGAAATTGTCAACGCACGTCTCAGTCCTCCTTGTAAAAATAAATGCTACATTGTGGGGTTGGCTCTGGTTAAGTGGAAGAAGCTAGTAAATCTACATGTAGGAATAAAAAAGGATTTCAAGAAAAAAGAGCAAAATTGAAGCTAGTTAAATTTTGCACAACCTCTGCTATCTAAATGTTATGGTAGTACCATAAGAAAAAGGACTATGCTCTTTGTGAGAAGAGGACAACAGAGCAGAAAAAAAGTAAGGAAAAAAAAATGATCAGCAACAAATAACCAAGCAGCACTACAAACTTAGAATTAATGTGAGATCTAGAAGACAGGACATGAAAGAATGAAATGAGATAGATCATAGCCATGACCTGGTTGATCAGTTATCAGAGTACAGTCCTGAAGCAGCTGAGCATATGATTAGATTTGGTAGTTAAATTAAGTGCACTCACACCAAGACCACCAGTATCACACAGAAGCAAAAGCAATCTCTTATCTTTTTCTAGATGACTGTATCTATAGAAAAGGAAACTAGGGGGAGGGCAGGGAAAGGAAGGGGACAAAAGCACCACACACCAGTAGCAGCTAATGAGCTTAAGATAGTATTGTTCCATATTGACTGTCTGGTGATCCAACAAGTACCATTTTTCACTAACAAAGAGGAAACTATAGCCAAGGAGTCTGCTGAATAAACATGATATTTTATAAAATATATATTTTTATAAAATAGCTTTCAGTAAGCAAAAAGGAGCCATGACTTATCACAGAAAGGACTTTAACTGGACAACAACAATCAGACAGTCCTTGCAATGGCTTTACACACATTTTCATACTAAAAAAAAACAAACAGGTTCTATGTAAAGCAAATTATCTTGCAGACATTTCAAATAATTACATGAAGGTCCATCATCTGACAGGAGTTACGAGCCAAATACAGTTAATCTGCATGTCAGATTCCTCACTCACTCTCCAGGCCACTATAATTTATGTGGTATTTAGTATTCATTTCTTCCCCATCTGCTGCAATTTCATAAATGCTTTTCTTGTGTGTCAGAAATAATGGAGTAGTCCATTCCTCCCAATTCTGCCAAAGGAAGTTAAGAGAGCAAGTAGTCAACAACAAGTATCACTATTAAAACACTAATTTCCATTTGTCTAAGGGTTTTCTTAAAGCCATTTCTCAGGTGAATTACTTAGGAGGGTAAGATGACACACCTAAATACAAATTCACAATAAGATAACTTTATTCATAAAATTTATTTTTATTACCTACAAATCACGCTTTCAGCTGGCACTGAAACAGCAAATACATGACTGCTGCTTTTTTCTGTAAGGATAGCTAATAAGTCTTCTCCATTCTCTCATCAATTTTAAGACCAAAGGTTATTCCTATTTTCAGATCAGAATGAGACAAAATACCTAAAGAGATTAATAAAGTTGCAATACATACGAAAAATGCTTACTCACATTATCTTGCATAAAAAACTTAAAATATCAGAGTAGAGACATATTCACTATCACACAGTACATCGTGACTGTTCTTCCCTATATCAAAATAATGAAATATTACTACAGAATCGAAACAGAATTAACTTCTAGAAGAGAATGCATAACTGAAAATTGCACTGTGAGTTTACCAAAAATTGTTACATACTAGCTCTATTCAG